ATTATTTCCTCACATTTCCAGGTTCTTTATTCATGTTCTGACACATGTTCTTATTTTTCTTAAATTCTAAAACAAACGTCACTTCTTTTTGACACATTTGTACAAAATAGGTTTTAATCTACAACAAGAGTCGTTTAATTACGATTATAATTATTATCGCAGTGGCAATAACAAGATTAATATCTTTGCGCTCCCGCGGTCTTTGTTAAACTAAAACTTATTAAGTAAATTAATTTAATAATAATAAGCAATTCACTATCGTATATCGACTCGTTGAAAACGAAATAAAAGAACGAATGAAAACACTCGATAATTAATAAGATTAAAAATATTTATTTAATATTTATGTTAGTTAGTGTTCTTATAAACTTACTAGCTATCGCCCGCGACTCCGTCCGCGTGTTTGTCTAAAAAATAAAAATTTAGGGTTGGACTACCCTTAACATTTAGGGGGATGAAAAATAGATATTGGCCGATTCCCAGACCTACTCAATATGCTCACAAAATTTCATGAAAATCAGTCAAGCCGTTTCGAAGGAGTATGGGAACGATAATTGTGACACGATAATTTTATATATAAGATTTTGCTAATTAAACCTTCCAACAAAAGTAACCAAAGAAACTATACGATACCAATGATGTTAAATTGCCTAATATGAATTTGATACAATATTACAGTCTCATTTAACACTACAACATTAACTAAACGTACTTTCACACAACCAATTGCTAAATTACACACGATTGATTCAATAATCAATCATCTTAATATTTAATTTATTAAAACTGACATTGATAATAAATATTGGAGTAATAAGGACTAGATATAGACATTAAATATTGTGTATTCGTATGTCTCAACTCAGTATACCGAAATTAATTTTGTTTTTTTTTTTCACAGTATAAATAAGTAATTTACACTTATAGGATTCCTCTTAGTGGCTAGTTAACGTCGCTAAATATTACTAAGGAAGCTAAGTACACTAATTTAGCAATATTTGAACAATCTCTAAATGTGGGAGTTATACTGTAACTAGCTGTCGCCCGCGACTCCTGTGCTGAATTAAAAAGAAACTTAATATGTAACCTATGTGTACAGATTATGTTCTATTTGTATGCCAAATTTCATCGATATATGTTGTGCCGTTCTGGAGAAACTTACAAAAAAACAAACATACATTCGCATTTATAATATTAGTATGAATAAGTTTGTTACAACAATTCTACTGAAGAATTTTTCTTGACTTTGCACACCACATCTTTATGTTTTAAAACATAACATAACCTAGACAATTTCGAACATAAATATATCTAAAAAGGTCATCTTGTATAATAAATCATTTTATTACGCAAAAGGTAAAATTATGATGCAGAAAAAAAATGTTTAGTTGCAATGTTACTATATTAGGATAGTGCATTGATTAACAAATGAATGTGGGCGTGGTG